ATTTCTGGAGAATGAAACATCAGCTCAGCTTCTCCTAATAGCATTTACATAAAGTCACAACTGATGATCTAATTCTATCAGGCCAAGTGCATGCGTGCTCACTGCTGGGTTTTTCTAAAGCAGAGAGGTGCCTCTAGCTGGCTGTCTAGGGGTCCATCTAGCCTCTGGAGTGGAGAGATGCTTATCCTAAATAATGAGCTGTGCATGAAGAGGGGTTCTATAGAACCCACTTTGAGAAACATGCAGCCTGAGTGACCTCCTCTGTGGCTATGGACTAGGTAACAGCTCCACCAGGAGAAATGCAGCTCATCCTGGAAATGAAGATCATTTGCATACAACCTAACCTAAAGCATGCTTCATGGTAGTCAACACAGACAACATGTATGCTATACACATAGGGTGTTTTACAATAATGATCTCCTGTGTGACCCTCAGTTTCATCCTCTGTGTGAGAGAGAGATGAGGATGCAGCATTTACTTTGTCAGCTCTTCCAGGTATCTGACAGGGGAATGGTAAAATCATTACATGACATAAACATGTAACTCTGGGTGAGACAGGCAAAGATTCAAACTGCAGCTCTCTCAGACCACTAAGTGTGACCTGGGCCAAGCCACTCACCCACTCCTGCCTCAGTTTCCTCATTTGTAATATGAAGGTAATGAATGAGATCATATAAAATGCTTAGGGCAATGCCCAGCACAGAGTCAGATTAAGAGATGATAGTAGCTACTATTATCACTGCATTGATTATCACCATCAGCATCTTAATTATTATTATTATTGTCAGCATCAATGTTGCCCTCACAAGAACCCCCTTTCCTTCCATTTCAGGAAATCCACTGTCTCAAATCACCACTTATTTCTTTATTTTATCCCTTAGGATCAATCCTTCAAGATAAGAGAATTTGATCATGGAACCAGAGCAAATGGCATCGCCCCACTGCACCAGAAAGGCTTCTGGAGTTCATGCACTGCCACTTGGCTCCTCCAGTTGCTATCAATTTGATCTGCATGGAGCGTTTTAGGACCTAAGAATAGCAATGATGAAATCCAGAAAGAAAAGGCAGACTCACAGGTATTGGGAAATTAGAAATGAAGCCAGATTGTGGCTGGGGGTGGGGAGGGAATCTCGGCCAGTCCCTCACAAGTCCATCCCAGAAGGAATCTTCAAAGTTAAAATAATAATAAAATTCATGTAGTGTTTAGTAGATAAACTGTGAGGTCAGATTCTTCCTGCTGTGTATATAGAGGAGCTGCGCTCGATGAAGACCAGCTGGCTTTGATTTCTACTGAAAATGAAACACATTGAAATCAACTTAAATGAGACCCTCAGCCACAAAGACAGCAAATGAGTAGATAGGGGTCAGTGAAATTGGTACTGAAAGCCGCTTTTCTGTCGGGTCCCCCGTGCTGAGAAATACACAGAAAGTCACAAACTGCTGATTATAACATAGGAATTCTGGGAACTCCGAAGACTCCAAGGACATGCAAAAGAACCCAAAGACAACACTGGCCTCCCTGAATGAGTTAAATGCTTAATAGCACTTTTTTGGTGTGTAGCGTTGTTTTTTTGTGTGTTCCTTTTGTAAGGATTTGTGGTAAAATAAACATAACATAAAAACTTCAACTTCTCTTAAGTGTACAGATCAGTGCCATTAAGTCCATTCACGCCACTGGTGCAATTGTGACTGCCATCCATCGGCAGGACTGTTTCATCATCCCACACGGAAACCATCCCCATTCAACAACATCTCCCCATTACTACCATTCTCACAGAAGGCTCCTACATGATGTGAGTGGGCAGAAAGCATCTTTCTAAAGAGCCCGGCGCCCCAGTTGGTCTGCTGGACCTCTGAGCGAGCCCCGAGCTGTCCCCTCCCGCCTTACCGTAGCTGAGCCATGTCTCGGCAGAGCTCGATGTTCGGCCGCCTTGTCCGCTCATCCAATCTGGTCTGAGCCACCTTCAGGAAGGCAGTCTTGTCCTTGATGGCCTTCTTGATGGATTCTATGGTCATTTCAGTCTGGAAAATCTCCTGCAGAGTCTGTGACAAAGAGAAGCAATTGCCTGAGGCTTTGGTGCGGTCCCTTCAACAACCTGCCTGTCCACTCCGTGCCTAGCACCTGCCTCGACCTCGCTGATGAAGAGGTCGCTTCACCAAGAGCCTAGATCCTACCCAGCCCTGCCCCGGGGAACCCACGTGTCTCAATGGAGCTGGCATGCACCGGCTCTGGAGAGTGCGTGGCGCCTCTCTCCCCAACCCTAGGCTCAGTGACCTCGTTTTGGTAACTGGAAATCAGTCAGGGTGGGAATATTTCAACCACAGAAATTGGGCAAATGCTACAAATCAGGGGTTCCCTGCATGCCACCCCCAATGGCCATTGTTAATTATTGACCGGCACACGTCTGTGTTTTGATAAAAGTGAGGTTTTGCTGGACACGGTGGCTCACACCTGTAATCCCAGCACTTTGGGAGGCTGAGGCGAATGGATTATGAGGTCAGGAGTTCAAGACCAGCCTGACCAACATGATGAAATCCCGTCTCTACTAAAAATATGAACATTAGCCAGGCATGGTGGTGGGTGCCTGTAGTCCAAGCTACTCAGTAGGCTAAGGCAGGAGAATCACTTGAAGCCGGGAGGTAGAGGTTACAGTAAGCCAAGATGGTGTCACTGCAATGCAGCCTGGGTGATGGAGCTGGAGACTCAAAGTGACTCAAAGCCTCACTTATTTAGTTATTTATTTATTTTTGAGACTCCATCTGTGGCAGGGGGTGTGGAGGGAATCTCAACTATTTTTGAGACTACATTTCAAAATAATAAATAAATAAATAAATAAGTGAGTGAGGCTCTGAGTGGCCCTAATCTCCCTCCTCACGTCCACATGTTGGTGCATTTCTTCCCATTTTCTCTTCGTACCAACTTGAGTGTCACTTTCCTCCCCACAGAGGATTTCCTTTGCAGCAAATCAGGCTTAAGCTTCAGGGTACCTCGCCTGCAACAGAAGACTACTGAAGTTTTGTATTCCTGATTTTATATTCTTTTTTTCTTAAAGAGTCCACTGCCCCAAATTGCATAAACACGCATCCCCCCTTGGTTCCTCCTCCTCTTTCTCTGTAAGGAGAATCCCTGTCCTATCCTCTGAAAAACCTCCCTTCTCCTGGCATCTTGATCTCTGCACTCCCGTAGCTCCACATCCTCCCATCACTGTCCCTCTTCCTGGGTTCCTTTCCATGGCCTGGAGACACACCCAAGTATCACCAATTTTTTTTTGAAACCCCATGTTTTTACTACCACTCTCCCATCCAGTCCCAACTGAGTCCTCTGCCAAATGTATTCAACCATGGCTGTGCCCACTTCCTTTACTTCCCATCCACCCAGTCTCCTGGCGGCCCCTGGATCCTGTCTCTGACCCTAGCTGCTCTCATGAAACTTCAGTTTCAAAGCCGACATTGAGGCCTCTCTGACACCTCCCTCTCCTTGAGACCCTCACCTTGTTTTCTATGGCCAAGTGTTGTCCCGACTCCCTCTTTTCCTACCACTCCTCATTCACTTCCAGTGCAAGGCTTTGGCCTTGGGTGATGTCTCTGCAATACCCCTTTGACTCTCCAGAGACCTCATGCAATCACAGATTCAGCACTTGTGTAATCCAGGCACTCTTCAGTCTGTCACTTGAGCTTTGACCTCCTCCCAAGCTAAAAATCATTTCACTGTTTCTATCACTAAGGCCTCCTTGAGATACTATGTGCTCCATGAAACTATCTCTATCTCTTGCCATTGGAAACAACTGCTCCTTCTTGTAAACTGTGTTCATGTTTCATCTGTTTCTGAGGAGTTCTTTCGGCACCTTTATGATGCAACTTCCGGTTTTCTATGTGCATGTCTTGTCTCTAAGACATGAGAAGGCAGCGTCAGTGTAGCATCCCTGTAGGAACACCCCTGAGTGCCTAGCACAGTAGCTTGAGTGTACCTGTTAGGGTTGAATGGTGCCTCTTCCCCCAAAATTCCCATGTTGAAGTACTAATCCCCAGTGCCTCGGAAGGTAGCCATATTTGGAGATAGTGTCTCTGTGGGAGTGATTAAGTTAATTGAGGTCTTTAGGGTGGCCCTAATCCAATATAACTTTGGTGTCTTTATAAGCAGAGGAAATTTGGACACGGACACATACAGAGGGAAGATGAGGTGAAGACAGAGGGAGAAAGTGGCCATCTACAAGCTGAGGAGAGAGGCCTCAGAGAAAACTACCCCTGCCGGCACCTTGATCTCAGACTTCCAACCTCCATTAATTAATTTTCTCTCTCTCCAGTGAGAAAATTAATTTCTACTGTTTAAGCCACATAGTCTGTGGTACTTTGAGTTAGGGCATCCCTAGCAAACTAACATATCAGTAAATAAAAATTTATTGAAGGAGGAACTCTGTCACAGTGGCCGTCTAAAAGGCCTTTAGAATGTCTTCTTATAATTGATAGTGTCTGATTCCATTAACCTTCTCATCAACGTCTTCTGCAACCTGTATTCAACCTACTTTTCCATATTCCTCTCCCAGTACACAAACTATCTACACCAGCCACACATCAGTCTCCTTACAGACCTCAACTCAACCTCTGATTTGCTGTCTCCAAGGCTTTCTTCAAGATGTAGCCCCACCTGGAATGTTCATTTCTCCCTCCAAATCCCAAAAACACTTTCCATATTTGTTATTTGCTAATCACGATTTGCAATATTCTATTTGTATTAATTCTTTACGAGCTTTCCCTATGCAAGCATTTCTTCTCCACAATGTAAACTTCCTAGGAACAAAAGCTACATTTGATGCTTCTCTCTGCCCTTCACAGCATGGAACACACTGTCTGGCTCAACTAATATTTGTTGCATGAAGCCGGCACCACGAGAAGGAAAGGTAAACCACTGCAGCCTGAGAAAATGTGGTTCCCTCAAGTGGGTAAAACCATCGTAGGCAACATGGCTCATGATGCAAGTTTCTTAAAAATAAGAAACAACATTGCTCGCTTCAGCAGCACATATATTAAAATTTGTACAATGCATAGAAGGTTGGCATGGGTTCTGAGCAAGGATGACATGCAATTCATGAAGCATTCCGTATATATTTTTTTACAATAGGTAATGACAATACATGATATAGTGTCAATAGCTAGAGGAAGGATATTGAATGTTTCCAACCCAAAGAAATGATCAGTATTTGAGAGGATGGATATGCTCGCTCATTACCCTGACCTGATCACTATACATTAAATGTATCAAAATATCACTGTCTACCCATGAATATGTACAATCATTTTTTGTCGATTAAAAAAACTATGACACAACAAACTATATGCAGCGTAATCCACACAAACCGTAAGAGCTGACTGATATTAAGGAAAGGAAGAGCTCCTTGTTTATCTTGAAACACACAAATTCTGCTGGACTCCTTCATTTTAGAATCATTGTGAAACTCCTATGCTTACAGCACTTAAAATTTTTGAATATCAGAAACATTTTGAACTACCTAACAGTTTCCTGTATTTGGTTTTGTATTCCAGAAAAGGGGTCTGAAATAATTTAACAGAAAACATTTCTACCATATGTTCTAATAATAAATTCACTTCCTAGCTATATACAGTGATTCATTAAACTTTAATAATAATATTTTTGTTTCTATTAACAACTAAGAACCTTTCATTACACAGTGCCTTCTTTGTATTCCAAATACCAGTGGATTCCAATTCCATTTTGACACCTGGCTACCTGGCTGAAATAAATGGCATGCTTTGTGCTGTTTTAAATTTTTCTTGCTCTGTGTGGCCAGGCAGTCACGTGCCTATGGTGCTTCTCTGGGACTGGTGAGAGATTTGTGGCCCCAGAGCACCCCGCTCAGTCCAGGTCAGCTACCGGGTAGCACCGGTGGTTGATTTACCTTTGCTAAGTGCATCTGAATCTTATTCTTAGCATCTGCAGTCTCAGCAATGCGATTGGTGAAACACAAGTTCACTTTGTTGAATTGATTCCACATCTCATTGGCAGTCACAACCAAGAGGTTTTCAATGTCGTCTCTTAGCTTAGCGGAAGCTGCCCGTTCACTCTGGGAGCGGAGAATATTGTCATCTGTAAATTTGGCCCAGGACTCGGGCACTGAGACACTGAAAAAGAAAAGCAGAGCCAGGCAGTGTTGACAGTGATGAATCAGCCTACAGGATCGCTAGGCAACCATTTATCCTGTGACAGAGCAACCCCCAGGTCAACGATCCTAGCTTCACTATATAAATGTAAATATCAGAGTGAAGCTTGTTTTAAACTTTTCTTAATTATTTCTTATTTTACTGCTAATCAGTTTTCTATAAATCTAAAACATAAGCTAGTTCTTCTGCCAGTTTCGGGGGGCAGAAGGATTAATGAATGACGAGAATGTCTAGGTTCATTATAAATGCGTCACACATCACGTCAATCAATAAGCGTATGACAGAATATTCAACCTCAAGGGTAATCAAAGAAGCATTAAAGAAAACAGCATAATAAGGAAATATTAGCAAGAGTAGAGAAAATGATAATTTGCAGTGCTGGCGAGTATGTTTAGAAAAAGTTTCTCTCGTATCTTACAGATGAGAATGGTGAATTGGCACAACCTTCCTGGAGGGTAAAAAGGCAAGAAGAGCCTTTCATCCAAATGTTTCCAGAAACTCCACTTCTAGAAATGTATCATAAGGAAACAATATACCCAAAGATTTATGTGTGAGGATACTCATTTCAGCAATATTTATGCTAATCCCTGAAAAATTAGAAACAACCTACATGTTCAAAAGTTTAAAACAAAAAGGTTAATTACGGTACATTCAAAAAAGTAATTCAAATACCATGCAAATTTATGTTCAAGTAAAATATTTATTTTACAAACAATGTTATTGAAAAATCAGACAGGCTATATAAACTGCATGTGTGTAATACCATTACTTAAAAATACAAATCCCTATCTATGTGTGAAAGAATATTGGAAGGACTAAAGACAAACTATGAACATTTATTTATTTATTTATTTTTGAGACAGAGTCTCATTCTGTCGCGCAGGCTGGAGTACAATGGTGCAACCTCAGCCCCCTGCAACCTCTGCCTGCTGGGTTCAAGTGATTCTCCTGCCTCAGCCTCCCTAGTAGCTGGGATTACCAACACGCACCACCACACCCAGCTAACTTTTTTATTTTTAGTAGAGACAGGGCTTCACCATGTTGGCCAGACCTGTCATGAACCCCTGACCTCAAGAGATCCACCTGCCTCGGCCTCCCAAAGTGCTGGGATTACAGGCGTGAACCACCATGCCCAGCCCTAAACTGTTAACATTGAGTGTCCCTGCGTGGTAGGCTTATGGATGAAATTCATTTGCTCATTGGAATAAGATATTAAATAAGACTCTTGCTGTTGACTAGAGGTTTTAACTCAGGCCCTGATGATCAAAGTGTCATCACATGCTCTGTGCCCTGACATTCTACAGGAGACAGTTAAGAATTCATGCCGGAAATACAGGAGGCCTTTTAAAGGGCTTAGTGGTCAGAATATACGGTTCCATTCCAGCCCACCTCCCATCCTCCAAAGAAGAAAAGAAGATGCTTCCTGCTCACCTCATCCAAGTAAAAGGAACCATTTAGGACAACACATACCTCACACTTGAGATGTGAGTCTGACTCACGCCTCAAGAATTTAAAGGTCCAAGTGGGTAACTGGCACTGTGCGTCTCACAGGGGAGCCGAGAGAAGGGCTGCTTTGAGGGTAAGCCACCCTGCAGGAAAGAATCCACTTGGAGGTCAATTTAGAAGTGGGAGGAGACATGAATGTGGGAAGAAGCACAGCGGACTTTCTGAGGTGATGAAAATATTCTATATCTTGACTGTGGCTGTGGTCATATAGGCATACAAATTTGTCAAAACCCATAGAAATGTACATTTAAACTGGGTGCATTGTATTGTATGTGAATTTCACCTCAATCAAGTTAACTTTTTTAAGGGAGTGGCTGGGAGAGACCATGGACCCTGCCCAAAATTGCATCCAGGGGCCTGGCGAAGAAACCACTGATGGGGTAAGTTGAACAAGCTGTGGTAGGAAAGGCATGGAGCTGTTTTCAGCCTGTATCCCACAGCATCCAGGGCATGCTGTGCAATGGCAATGTATGGCTTGTCTGTGTTTTTGTAGGACTTCTGCATCAAGTGGGATTATTTTCATAGTTAGAAAATATAAACAATAAATATTTCTTTACAAAAGAATTCAGGATGCAATGATCAAGGTCTGACCACAGAAAGTGCTTGCTTACTGAAGACTTGTACAAAGCTGGGTGTGTCTCTCACCTTCAGACATCTTACCATGCTTTCCGTTTCAACCTGTAAGCTGTGTCCTTTCTAAAGGGGAAAGATCTAAATGATGTCGAAATCACAGCAGTGGCGTGTGCCTGACTTACGTTGCATCGACCCTCTCCACTCCACGGAAGTAGCTGACACCATCTGACGTGTTGCGCAGGTGGTGGCACTTGTCATCGATCCGATAAGCCGTCTGCTTGTCACTCAGGTCCTTCTCCAGCTCGTGCTGCGACGCTCTGTTGGCTCTGTAACAGAGTCAGGAAGTGGAGCTTCACGCTCAGGTGACAATGTCCTGCAAGGACACATGAGTGCCCTTCCATGTTAGGGCCTCTCTCACTGTTCCTCTAGCCATCTCTCCTCCTTCACACAGTGTTCAATTTCTCAGTCAAAATGAGCACTCTCTGGAGATGCCCATATATCTGTGTCACTGGGACCCTAACTCCTGCCCTGTCTACACTTCTCCCTTCATAGGGTGGGATGGAAGTGGTGAGAGCAGGTGAAGATAAACAGGGGTCCAGAATCTGCAGCCCCAGCTAGGGCCCATCTTCCTAAAACACACAAACCCTTCCAGAAGGGACACGGATTCAAAGTAATCTGTCCACATCTGTGCCTTCCAGTCCTTCCTTTTCCTTTTCCTCTTCTACATCCCAGCTCTCTTTTCCTCCATTATTTAAATTCCCAAGAAATCATGAGGCCTTTACAGCCGAGCCCCCTGCCATCCATTGGCGACCTCAGTTTGCGATCATGCTGGGGCCAAGATGTTTGCCAGGAGATAAAAACCAAGGGTCAAAATTAACCTCCAGGGCAGGAATAAGAGAAGGCTTCAACAGAGATCAGGAATTGATGGTCCACCTAGCCTCACACACTCAGCAGCCACCCTGCTGGAAGAAAGAGGCCTTGGTGAGCTCTGAGATTGCACGGGCTTGCCTGTAGTGTCAGGCAGAGAGAGGACCCACAGCTCACTACCAAAGACAGGCCCTGGGGGCAGGCATGGGTGACAGGTGAGCCACATGGAATAGTTCATTCCACAAGTGATTAGTGAGTGCCTCCCACATGGCAGGCTCCATTCTGCGAGCCTGGGATACATCAAGGGACAACACCGACATCTTTTCTCTAAGGAGCCAGCATGCTTCTGGGAGAAGACAGAGAACACATTCAAGGAATCAGCAACTTCTGTGGTTAGAAGAACAATGCTAAAAACAAAGCAGGAAAAGGGAGAGCAGGACTGTGTTTATGATTATAAATAGGACAGCCAGAATAGGACTTACCAAGCGACATTAAGCAAAGACATAAAAAAAAGGGGGATCAGATAATGCAGAGCCGTGATGGACATGCGAAGGAGTCAGGATTTCCTCAGAGTAAAATTGGAGGCCACTGACTTACAATTTAAAAGGTTCATTCTGGTGCTGGGCTGAGAACAGACTGCAGGGGGCAGGAAGACCCACGAGGAGGCCCCTGTAGTTAGGTGAGAGATGAAGGCGGTTTGGACCAAGGCGGTGGAAGTGAAGGAGGTAAGAAGTATTCAGATTCTGGATATGGTTTGAAAAGAGAATCAAGAGAATCTCCTATGAGATCGAACATCAGTGAGAAAAAAGAGCTTGAGTCATTTGAATAATGGAATTCCATCAACTAATGTGGGGAGGCTGGGGAGGGAGAAGCTAGGGGAGAAGATGGAAGTCCAGCTGACATAGTAAGCTTGCGTGTTCACTGAACATCTACATGGAATGGAGACATGAAGGAGGTTGTTGGAATTGGAAAGAGACATCTAG